CCCCGTCCCTCCGGGTTCTTCGCGCTCCAGCGGCGCCCGCTGCGCCAGAGCTCAGGCTAGGTTCCGCCTGCCCGATGCCCCGCAGGGGGCGTTCGGCCGCCGCCGCCGCCGTCCCAGCAGGAGGGACAGGGCCTGGAGCGGGTTGCGGTGGAGCCGGTTGCGGTGGGCGGACTCGCCCATCGCGGCAGGGATAGTTTTTTTTTTTTTTTTTTTCTCAGGGCTTGAGGCGAGAGGAAATCAGAGGCAACTGCTGGCTTCCTTCTACAACCCGATGTAGGGGACTGGGAGGACTTCACACCCGGCTCACGCGGAGACATCACCTTACAGCTCAGGCCCTTGGGGCTCCCACTGTGCGGCTTCCCTGTGGATTCCCCTCCTGCTTGCTTTGAGCCTGCTGGTGGGCGGTGCCCGTGACCCACTTGGTCCTGAGGGTCCACGGGTCGGGCCAGGAGCTTCTCGTCGTCTCCTCCCCGACCCCGTCGCTTGAGGACCAGGGCTTTTAGTTCCTCCGCTGGGCTGGGGCCCCTTCCACGATGGACGTCCTGAGGCGGAGAAAAGCCCCGGACATGTGGAAAATTAGGTTCACAGAGAGGATGGGAGAAAGGCAAGGAGAAGCAGGTGGCAGGAGAACAAGGAGAAACCCCCGCCCCGAAAATGGGAAGAAGGTGACACAGGGACAACCTCCCCACCCCAGGTTAGTCAGGGTTCTCCAGAGGGACTGCACCAATAGGATATGTGTGTGTGTGTGTCTCTCTGTGTGTGTGTGTGTGTGTGTGTGTGTATGAATGAGAGTTCATTAGGGAGAATTAACGCACACGATTTCCAAGGCGATGTCCAATGGTAGACCGTCTGCAAGCCGGGGAGGAGAGAAGCCAGTAGAGGCCAGTTCAAATCAGAAAGCCTCAAAACCGGGGAAGCCCACAGGGCAGCCTTCAGCCCCTGCCAAAGCTCCCAGAGCCTCCCGAAGTCGGAAACTGCTGCTGCAGGTCCCAGAGGCCAAAGGCCAAAGAACCTGAAGTCTGATATCCGAGGAGGAAGGAAACAAGAACCCACAGGGGAGGCAGAGAGAAGCCAGAGAGATCCGCTGGCAGTCACCCCACCCTCTCCCGCCTGCTTTCCTCTAGCCCAGCTGGCAGCCCATGGTATGGTGCCTACCCACAGTGATGGAGTTTTCCTCTCCGAGTCCTCTAACTTAAATGTTAGTCTCCTCTGGCAATACCCTGACAGACACACCCAGAAACAGTCCATTACCAGCCATCTAGACATCCCTCAATCCAATCCACTGGACACCTAATATTCAGCATCACAGTCCTGCAGGCCACACTCTTGCCCACACTCAATCTGGACTCCATCTCTCTGCGCTCTACACCTGGAAGGAGTGAAGGATCCAGTCTCTCCATGTCCTCCCTGTGATTCTGATGACAACCTTCCTTCTGGGTGTGAGGTGGCATCTTCTTGTGGCTGTGATTTGCATTTCCCTGACGGCTATGGATGTTGAACCTCTTTTCATGGGCTTAGTGACCAATGTATACTTCGCCGGAGAAATGTTCATTCAAAACCTTTCCACATATTTATATTGCATTATTTCTCTTTACAATATTGAGTTGTAAGAGTGCTTTATATATTCGGGATACCAGTCCCTTACCAGATATATAATTTGCACATATTTTCTCCAAGCTGTAAGTTGTCTTTTCACTTTCTAAATGGCATTCTTTTCGAAGCACAGAGGTTTTACCTTTGGAATAAATCAAATCAAACTATTTTTCTTTTGTCAATAGTTCTTTGGCAGGGGCCGGGCGCGGTGGCTCACGCCTGTAATCCCAGCACTTCAGGAGGCCAAGGTGGGTGGATCACCTGTACTCAGGAGTTCGACACCAGCCTGGGCAACACGGTGAAACCCCGTCTCTACTAAATATACAAAAAATTAGCCGGGCATAGTAGTGTGTGCCTGTAGTCCCAGCTACTTGGAAGGCTGAGGCAGGAGAATCACTTGATCCTGGAAGGTGGAGGTTGCAGTTAGCTGAGATCGCACCACTGCAGTGCAGCCTGGGTGACAGAGCGAGACTTCACCTCCAAAACAAACAAACAAACAAACAAACAAACAAGAAACAGAAAAAAGAGGCCGGGCGCGGTGGCTCAAGCCTGTAATCCCAGCACTTTGGGAGGCCGAGACAGGCGGATCACGAGGTCAGGAGATCGAGACCATCCTGGCTAACACGGTGAAACCCCGTCTATGAAACCCCGTCTCTACTAAAAAATACAAAAAAAAAACTAGCCGGGCGCGGTGGCGGGCGCCTGTAGTCCCAACTACTCGGGAGGCTGAGGCAGGAGAATGGCGGAGCTTGCAGTGAGCTGAGATCCGGCCACTGCACTCCAGCCTGGGCGGCAGAGCGAGACTCCGAAACAGAAAAAAGAAAAAATAGTGCTTTGGCATACAGTGCTTAAGTAGCCTTAGCCAGACCCAAAGTCATACAGATTTACGTCCATGCTTTCTTTTTTCTTTCTTTCCCTTCCTTCCTTTCCTTTCCTTTTTCCTTCCTCACTTCATCCCTCCCTTCCTTCTTTCCTTCCTTCCCCAGGCTGGAATGCAATGGTGCAGTCTTGGCTCACTGCAACCTCTGCCTCCCGGGTTCAAACCCTACTCCTGCCTTGGCCTCCCGGGTAGGTGGGATTACAAGGTCCTGCCACCACACACGGCTAGTTTTTAGCAGAAACGGGGTTTCACCATGTTGGTCAGGCTGGTCTTGAACTCCTGAACTCAAGTGATCTGACCACCTCAGCCTCCTAAAGTGCTGGGATTACAGGTGTGAGCCACTGTGCCTGGCCCTCCAACCCCATTCTTTAGGGCTTTTCTCTGGTAACCTAATGACCTATCAAAGCCTCCCCCTCCTAGCACATGTTGGGGATTAGGTTCGGGGGGACATAGACATTCAGTCACCAGTACCACCTCAGCTGAGTATTGTCTCCATGGAAATGAGGAAGCTGGATAGCCTTCTCCCCACAGTCGCCCCTTGACTGTCATCCCCTCGGAGTGACACTGAGTGACACTCCCTGGTGTGGAGAGCTTTGTGTGTGTGGTGCACTCCTACCCCTGCCACACTCAGGCTGGCAGCTGATGTCACCACTGCAGCTCTACTTCCTGCCTGCATAGAACCTCCAGATCAGCTGAAGGTCAGAGATGTGGCCTTCTCAGGTGCTTCCTGGGCACATGCCAGCCGCTATGCACATCTCATTCCCCAAGTCTTTCTCTCAATTTCCCCCAATAGCCACTTGTTTGCCCCACATGCAAACGGTGGGGTTGTACACTTTCAATGATTGCTTCTAGCCAGTGCTCTGAGGCTCTGGCTTTTCCCCTAGAGAGAGACCTCAGCGGGTCAAACAATGACAAACCCAATGAATGGGGCTTTTCCAGTGAGTCCCAGACAGGCCAAATAGAGTTCTCTGGGGCTGGGGCTTTTGAGGGGCTCCAAGCCCAGGGTGCCCCTCCAGCGAGTGGAGACTGTGGCCTTGCAGCTGTCACTGACATGGTGAGTCCAGTGTTTTCTGGGCACAGTAAATCAGGATATATTGTGCAGACCACACATAGAAAGAAATGGTAGGAGGAAGAATAAAAATTTTCAAGTATGTACTTGGTAAGAATTAGAAAAAAAAACAATGAGGAAGGGGCAAGGTTGGCTTGGTTGTAGCTAACCTGGTGGAGAAACGCAGCCGTCTGTGATAGAGGGCCTGAGCTCTTAGGTTCCTCTGCAATGCCAAGAGCACCTCCACAACCGGCCCTGCATCCTCCTCTCTCCCGAGGCTGAATGCAGCTCTTGTGCCTTCAGTGCCAAGGAAGCCACAGTCCTAGGCCAGAGGAAGGGCTGAGGTGGACAGTGGAACAGGAGGGGGTGGGTGCAGAAAGAGAAGGCTGACAGCAAGGATTTCCTGAGGATAAACAAAAAGTGTCACTTGTAAATGGAAAGAAAAGAAGGGTATAAAGAACAAGATGGAAATCATCTGTAATTCCATTATACAGTGTTAATTTTAGGGTTTTGGCACTTTCATGTATAATTCTTATACAATTATCATCATACAACTTACGATTATTTTAAATGATTAGAGTTTATTTTTTTGAGCTGGGTTAGGGTTCTTAGTGCAGAATCCTCTCACTCCGGTCAGTTAACTCCAGGTTTTTGACCTTATGTCGTTTTTATTTATTCATCTTTAATTTCAACCTATATTATACATTAAAGGGTACACATACAGGTTTGTTACATGGGTAGATTTTGGGAGGCTGAGGTGAGGCTTTGTGTCCCAGTGATCCCATCACCCAAACAGTAAGCATGGTGCCCCATAGGTCGTTTTTCAGCCCAGGTGCCCCTCGTCTCTCCCCCGTTTAGTAATCTCCAGCATCTGTGGTTCATGTGAATTCAATGCTTAGCCGCCACTTTCAAATGGGAACATGCAGTATGTGGTTTTCTGTTCTTGCCTTAGGTTGCTTAGGATAATAGCCTCTAGTTCCATCCACGTTGCTGAAAAGGACGTGATTTTGCTGTGTTTCGTAGCTACATAGATTTCCATGGTGTCTACGTACCACATTTGTTTTTTTCATTCAATTCAGTGTTGTTGGGTACTTAGATTGATTCTGTGTCCTTGCTAGTGAAAATAGCACTGTAATAGACACATTGGTGCAGATGTCTTTTGGATAAAATGAATTCTTTTCCTTTGGGTATATCCCCAGCAGTGGGATTGTGGGATTGAATGGTAGTTCTATTTTAAGTTCTTGGAGGAATCTCCAAACTGCTTTCCATAGCGGCTAAACACGTTTGCTTTCCCACCAACAGTGTCTGTTTCCTTTTCTCTGCAGCCTCACCACCATCTCCAACTTTCTGACTGGTAAGAGATGGTAACTCATTGTGGTTTTGATTTGCACTTATCTCATGAATAGTGATATTGAGCATTTTGTTATGTTTCTTGGCCACTTGTATGTCTCCTTTTGAAGTGTCTGTCCATGTCTTTGCACATTTTTAATTGGATTTTTTGTTCTTGCTTGTCAAATTGTTTAAATTCCTTATAGATTCTGAATATTAGACCTTCATCAGATACAGAGTTTGCAAATAGTTTCCCCCATTCTACAGGCTGTTTACTGTGTTACTAGTTTCTTTTGCTGTGCAGAAGCTCTTTAATGAGATCCCATCTGTCAATTTTTGTTTTTGGTACAATTGTTTTTAGTGTCTTCTCCATGAAATCTTTGCCAGGCCCTATGTCCACATTGGTATTTCTTAGATTATGTTCCAAGATTTTTACAGTTTTAATACTTATATTTAAATCTTTCATCCATATCGAGTTATTTTAGATATATGGTGAGAGGTAGGGGTTCAGTTTCATTATTCTGCATATGACTGGTCAGATACCCCAGCACTATTTTTCGAATAGGGGATCTTTCCCCCATTGCTCATTTCTGTTGAAGATTAGATGGTGGTAGGTGTGCAAGTTGATTTCTGGGCTGTCTATTTTGTTCCACTGTTCTAAGCATCTATTTTTGTGCCAGCGTTGGTCTGTGTTCGTCACTGTAGCATTATAATATAGTTTGAAGTCCGGCAATGTGTGACAAGAAAATGAAGTACCTAGTAGTTCATTGACCCGAAGGGATGAAAGATCTTTATAGGAGAACTACAAAATACTGCTAAAAAGAATAAGATACAACACAAATGAATGGAAAAAATATTTCATGCACATGGGTTGGAAGAATCAATATAGCTAAAATGGCCATACTTCCCAAAACAATTTATAGATGCAAAGGTATCACTATCAAAATACCAATATTGTTTTTCACAGAATTAAAACAATCCATTCTAAAACTTATTTGGAACTAAAAGGAAAAAACAAAGTTCAAGCTGTTAAAACAATACTAAGCAAAAAGGACAAAGCCCCTCACCTCCTTCTTACTTCTGCCCACGGTTCCAGATGCCTCCATGGTTACTGAGACGAGGATGTGCTGGGGGTTCCTCAGTTGTGGGTGGATGAAGTGACCACAGGGATGAGCTGAATGGAGAAAGGGTGTAGCCAGCGACTCAGACCTGGGCGACCACTGATGGCTGTGTTGTAAAGTGAGCCCTATATGGAAGGAGAACCCTCCCTCAGCTCCTGTGCCCATGGAAATCCAACACTTCACAGATCTGAGTCTCATCTGGATCAGGCCATGTATTTAGAAAGTGATGAAGGGACCCTGGGCCTGAGCTGCTTCAGTCTCTAGAGGGGCCTGGGTGTTGCCTTCAGGGGATAAGGGGGCAGGAGAAGCTGCCTGAGGCTGAGGGTTAAGAGGAAAATACCTGCAGGCCCTGGCTTTGCAGGAGGAGGAGGAGATCTGCTGCATTTATGGAGGTATTCACTCCTTCACATCAATTTCTGAAAAGTAAGTTTTTCTTCCATTTCTATTTTCAACTAGTAAAAAAAAAAAAAAAAATGAAACAAGCAGAATGAACAGAGTGGTCGCAAGCACATTACAGAGAACTTCTCTTCCTGCACTACTTGAGAGTGAGCTGTCACGCTGATGCCCCATCTTAGAGATGCCACCTCATGCCCCATACTTTACTATGGTTTCCTTGCAAACCAGGACACTCTCCAGGTAACCCCTGTGCAAACTCCAAATTAGATTTCACTGCAGACATTGCGACCATCTCATGCTAAGACGCCACTCTGGGTTCAGCAATTGTTCTAAGAATGTCTTTCATCATCAGAGACCTGATGGATGCAGGCAATTCCTACCCCTTTATTTTCCTAAATATCTACACTATGGTGTTGTATTTGTCCCACTGATTGATCTGTATATTTTTGGAAATATGGAAAGTGATCTGGATTGATGTGGTTATTTTTATTGTGTGTAAATCACAAATGCTCACTAACATGTTGGAGAAGTTTAACATTTTCATCCAGCATTTGAATTGTTTCATTTTTGCTAGTTTGGATTTTGTAGTCTGATGTAGAGCAAAACAGGAATCTTTCATCAACATTGAAAAGCATTCTGTACTATACTTGAATATTTCATTGCTCACTTTTCGCTACGACAAAGGACAGCACAGTCAGCAGTCTAGTATCTCCATGTTCTCTGGAACATGTTTGGAACCCAGAACTGACTCTGGGATTGCTGGTTAGTGGGATGAGCACAGCGTCCACTCTCCTGGATACTACCTGAGTAGACATCAAAAAAGTGATTCAATCTGGACTCTTACCCACAATGTAAGAAGTCTCTGATATTCCATTTCCTGTCCACCAATTGGTAGAGACAGACTAAAAAAATTTGTTGGTAAGATGAGTATACAGGGGTAGACCATCGTTTTCTTGATTGTATTAGAGCTATAAAAGCTTTCACAGGTTTCTTTAGGATCTCTGAATTGCTCACAGCATTTCCTGAAGAATTAGGTGCATTTTATTAGTTTCTAGTAGTTCTTTATATATTCTGCTTCTGATCTTTTGTCTATGGGGGAATAGAATAACATTTACAAATAGAGATGTATCTGTGGTGAGGATTTCTTTCACTAGAAGTGAGCATGATCAGGGCTGAAGAATGATGAGAAAAGCCACTGCCAAGCCTGGAGTGGGCTAGGGACAAACCAGAAAGCATCACATTCTGGAAGCAGGGATAGAGGCAGGAATATCTGCTGGCCCAGGACATCAGGACAGTGGTGAAGACTGACAGCCAGACTGCTTATAAATTAAGAGTGATCTTTAAAATCTCTGTCTCCAAAAGATATCTAGCAGCATCCCTAGTTTTATTATTAAATATAACATGTCAGAAGAATGAAATCCCATTAATTCTCTATATAGGGCAACATAGGAAGACCCAGTCTCTACCCAAAAATCAAACAATTTGCCAGGCATGGTGGCATGCGCGTGTACTTGCAGCTATTCTAGAGGTTGAGTCTAGAGGATCACTTGAGCCCAGGAGTTGGAGATTACAGTGAGTGATGATTATGCCACTTCACTCCAATATGGTTGACAGAATGAGAAACTGTAAAAAAGCATAACAGTAAAAAGGATTAATACAATTCTTGGTTAGTGCATGGAAAAGATCCCTGAGATCTGAAGTCCAGCATGCTAGTTTACTAGCAATACTGCTCGGAAGAATAAGGTCATGCTTCAGAGAAGTGTTTGTTTTCCACAATCAAAGAAGCAGAAATAACTCTTTTTTTTTTTTTTTTTTTTTTGCTGGGATTTCTTGTTCAGTTAAAACGTGTGCAGGAATTCCTTTCATTACCACTGAGAGAAAGTGACAGAAGATGTTAAGAAAAATGGCTGCTAGGATCATCACCAAAGGAAATGAGTGGCATGACATGTTGAGTCTACAATGTCCTCGTCATCTGCTGGGGGCCTGTGGTATCGGGGGAACCCACCCTCAATATTTCAACATGTGTTCTTTCTATTTTCCCTAAGTGTTGGCAGGTCTGAGAAATAAAGAGAAAGAGTACAAAGAGACAAATTTACAACTGTGCTACCGGGGGTGAAATCACATGTTGGAAGGTCTGTGATGCCCACCTGAGCAGCAAAACCAGCAGGTTTTTATTAAGGACTTCAAAAGGGGAGTGGATGTACGAACAGGGAATAGGTCACAACGATCACATGCTTCAAAGGGGGATAAAGATCACAAGGCAAAGGGCAAAGCAAAGATCACAAGGCAAAAGGCAAAATTAGAATTACTGATAAGGGTCTATGTTCAGCTGTGCAAGTATTGTCTTGATAAACATCTTAAACAACAGAAAACAGAGTTCAAGAGCAGAGAATTGGTCTGACCTCAAATTCACCCAAATTCACCAGGGTGGAATTTTCCCCCCACCCTAATAAGCCTGAGGGTACTGCAGGAGACCAGGGCATATTTCAGTCCTTATCTCAACCGTGTAAGACAGACACTCCTAGAGCAGCCATTTATAGACCTCCCCCCAGGAATTCAATTCGTTTCCTAGGGGCCTAATATTATATTCTTTGCTACAAAAAGAATTTAAGAATATCTCTCCTACTTGCACGTCCATTTATAGGCTCTCTGCAAGAAGAAAAATATGGCTCTTTTTTCCCAACCCCACAGGCAGTCAGATCTTATGGTTGTCTTCCCTTGTTCCCTAAAATCGCTGTTGTTCTGTTCATTTTCAAGGGGCACAGATTTCATATTGTTCAAACACACATGTTTTACAATCAATTTGTTCAGTTAACACAATCATCACGGGGTCCTGAGGTGACGTACATCCTCAGCTTATGAAGATAACAGGATTAAGAGATTCAAGTAAGACAGGCGTAAGAAATTATAAGAGTATTATTAGGGAAGTAATAAATATCCATGAAATCTTCACAACTTATGTTCCTCTGCCACAGCTCCAGCCTGTCCCTCCATTTGTGGTCCCTGACTTCCTGCAACACTGTGGACTTGCTAAGGCTTGAACTCCTGCTTTCTAGAAAGGCACAGTGGTGAGTAGACAGGCGGCCTCTCTAAAGGGAGAGCAGGAACCAGACCAGACTAACGGGGGTTCTTGATATCATCTTTCACCTTGACAAAAGATGAAGTGTTGGTTTAAGTGGCTGACAAAAACCTGGATCTGTTCTCCTGGGTGATCCCTCCCAGACCCTCCCCATTTCGGAGCCTCTCCTCCAAATATGGAATACGTTTCTCCCTCCAACCCTACCCCTGGCTCTGCAGCCTGTCCCAACCTCCTCCCTCCTTCACCACACCACAGAGCCAGCCCAGGTCCTGTTACAGCCCAGGGAGGCTCAGAACTGAGGCTGGTAATGAGGGGTCTGCACCCTCACTCAGGTACTGCTCCTCCCTGTCATCGAAGGGTCTAGACGACCTGGAGGAGCCCTGTCCAAACAGAAGTATCTGGATCCATGTTTCCTGGCCTTGGGTGGGCTTGCAGGCAAACTTCCTTCTTTCCCCTTCTCTCTCAGCCTCTCCTCACCCTGGGAGCTGCACCCATAGCTCTGAATGGAACTGTCCCTGCCCTACCCCATTCATTCCTGGCTAAGCTCAGTGGTGACCATGGAATTTCAGCAGCACCTCAGCTTCCCTGTCTGAGTCCACTCTGCTCCAGGCAGGGCCATCAGCTGACTCAGGATCTGGAGTATGCAGGAGGCATAATGGCAGGGGCATCACCTCAGGGCCTGGCCACGAATCCCATGGGTCCAAGGGGCTTGGCCTTTTCCTAAAACTCATCCTGGACATGCTCTACTCTTCATCTTCCACCCTAACTGTTGGAACTCAAGGTGCTTTCTCTGGGAATGAAGCTTTAGGAACTGGGTGGGCCAAGGCCCTCACAGCCCCCTTGTCCTGGGATTCCTCCAGATGGCTCTCTTCTTAGCCTCCTCCAGGGACACCCTTTCCCTTGACATCCTAGGTGAAACAGCCATGCTGCTCCTCTCCTATTGCGCGGACTGCCCATGCCTGGGTTCCTGCTGCCTGCAGGCCACACACCACTACCCTTCCTGAATAGAAACCTGCTCTGAAACAGGCCTGAATTGGCTAAACCCTCTCGAGCTCAATAGGCCCTGAGCTTTGGTGTGAGCCTCTCCCTTTCCCTCTGCCCTCTGACAGTGAGAATCCATCAGAACTCAAGGTTGAGCTGCCCAGGTCATTGCCAACAGGTGACACCAGGTCTTATTGACCTGTCTCATGTCAGGATGAGAAGGTCCCGGCCATGGGGAGGGGTGGGGCTCTGGGAATTCTCTTTCCCTTCCTCCCACCTCACCCATCTGTCTCTTGTTCCCCTCACAGTTTTGCCCACAGTACCTGTCACTCTAAAGGACTCTCCTGAGATGCCAGGGAGGATGAAGCAGAGAATGATGAGGTGGCTCCAGAGATTGAGGTTGGTGGACATGGCTTTGGTTTGGGCTGTGCGTGGGGCCACAGTGAGTGGTTCTGAAATGGAAACACTGGAGTGACAACTCTTGTCCATGCCCCAAATCTGAGGAGACACCTCTTCAGCTCCTGCTGCCGCAGGTCATCCTGGAAGGCAGAGGATTTGTCTCCCCTGCTGTGGGGCAGCCACTGTGACAGGTCCTGGGGGTAGGAAAGGAGAGGGGGTGTCCCCATCTTCAGGGAGCTCACATAGCTGCTGAGGGAAGCAAGGTGACAGCACAGCCCACCCTCCTGCTCTGGCAGAAGAAGAGGTGATGTCCCAGGGCTGGGGAGGGGAGAGTCTCAGGGCTGGCATTCGAGGTGGTTTTGATGGATTTCCAGAAAGAGACCAAAGGAGAGGAAAAGAAAAGTAATCCTAGGTGGAGGGAAATCTAAAGAGAAAGGTCTAGAAACACAATGACACCCACAGTTTCGAGGTTGGCGATAAATCCACAGTAAGTGGAGCAAAAGCAAGTGCAGTGAGGAAGAGGAGTCAGGAGGGAGAGAGAAGAGGAGGATGGCAGAGCCCAGGCATCCCCAGGAGGAGCCCCCCCATGAGGGGTTCATGTTCTTACACTCACTCACACACACACTCACACTCACACACACATAGACTCACACCCACTCACACCCGTACACCCACACCCACCATACTCAGACACTCACAGACAAGGGTGTAACTTGATGGCATCTCCAGCGTGCTCCCAGTGCTCCCCTGACAGTTACCTATGGGTTCCAGCCTCTTCTCCCTGTGCATCAGGAAGTCCCTAAGCCAGGTTTTGCAGTCTCCCATCGAGACCTTCTGGAAGAACATGGTTAGTTCGCTGTCCTCCCACTTCTCTTTCATCTGCCTGGCTCCAGCCTGAACCACTGTCCACTTTCTGTTGGTTGAGTCAAAGAGGAGGAACTTCTGTCCATTGAAGCTGAACTGCCAAGATCCACGGATGGGTCCGTCGACTTCACACTCACAAGACATCCTGGCCTGCAGCGTGAGGGGTCCTGCCCCAATCAGAAAGAGATCAGCTCTGGTCTTTACATATTCTCTTCCCTATGCTACATCCTCCTATGCTGAGACCCTTCTCATCTGGTCCTGTTGTCTCCTCCAAGTCCTGCCCTTGCTGCTGGGCTTCATGGAGGTCCCGTGTCTAATTTATTCTCCCCACACAAAGTGCAGCCCCTGAGCCCACACTCTGCTCCCTTCTGTCCTTGGTCTCCACCACTCACCGCTGGGTGTGAAATCCTCCAGCTCAGTGTCAGCCAGTTCCAGTCTGAGCCTCTGTCCCACCTCTCTCAGCATTTCCAATTGTTTTCCCCAGGCATCTGTGGCATCCAGCTGCTCTTCTAGGTGACCCATAGATAAGACCTTGTCACTGCCACAGTCATAGGAGAGGAAATTCTTCTGATCCACCTGGCCTTGGACCTCACACCACTGTTGTCCATGTCTGGGCAAACGAATGATGGTGAAGTTATACCAGAAAGAGTGAGTGTCTATGGAAAAAAACCCCAAAATACCGGAGAATTTTGAAGTGGGGGAAAGACCCCAAACACTGTGACAGCAAGAGGGTTTCCTGAAGGGCTGGGCTGGCAGAGATGGATTTCTCTTCCTCGATGGTGGTCTCTGCCTGTGGAGGAACCATGTGTCGCCAACATGTCCATCTCCCCACTCTGCCCAGACCTATACTCACATCTGTCAGCACAGCACCCTGCCAGGGAGGTGGCAGGCCTGCTACAGGTGAAAGGACCTAGATGGCAGGATCTTCAGCAGCAGCCCAGGTGGACTGCAAGAGGCGGGAGAGCACCCTGAGGATTTTGCAGCATGGTGTAGTGGGTACAATGTAGTCTAAATTGGGTAAGGATGAGTTTATTTATTATGGGAAAGAAGACATGGTAAGTTCCTGGAATATGCTTTTCAGCTGCTACTAGGTTGCCCTTGGAACCTTGGAAAAAGGAATGACCCAGAGTGCACGAAACAGAAAGCCCATCTCTTACATGGCAGGTTGTAGAGGAAAGAACACAATGCTCAGAGAAGTGCAGACGCTAGAGTGGCTGCAGTATGAAAATTCAGAACAGTGGCCACCCTCTGGGCTCAAGGGATGCCTAGAGGACTCCTGTTTACCCAGCATATAAGAAGGCCCTGGGAAAAGGCAGCTGATTGTCAAGAAGCTCAGGGATGCCTGTTGCTGAAGGCCAAGGTTGGGGGTAGGAGATGCTCTTCCTGAAATAGGCTTCCAGTAGTAATGGGGATGGAAAATCCTCAAATAACAAATCTCAAGTGGAGGCCATCAACTGTCAAGAGGAAGGAGTGTGCAATGATGGAAATAATTAGAGAAGTCACAATGCCAGCTGGGGACTTCAGCCATAGAAAGCTATGCCCATGGCTCATAGAATGAAGTGGTCCAAGATCCAAAAGAGATGGAGACTCAACCTGGATACTGCTAGATTTAAATAACTACAACAAACAAAGACAAAACGCAAGGATGGATGACCTGGAGGCTGAAAGTTGTCACCCCAGGAAATAACCGAGCTCCTTTGCCCAGCTTTGAGAACTGAGCCACATCTCAGATCAAGTCCATTACTAGAAGGAGAGCCCAGAGCCCCTGGTGGGCCTCTTTGACCCCACAGCAAGTGCAATGACTGCTTAAGACTCCCCCACAGAACCAGATGGGCATTCACTCTGGTAACTGTACACCATGAAACAGCAAATACCCAGACACTCCTAGTGAACATAGTGTGTGATCTGACCCCCTCCCAGAGATCTGAAGCATTAACTTGCTTCCCTGTTACTCATGAGGTGCAATGGGGCAAAGTAATGGATGGACACCTGTGTCAGGTCCAGCTTAGAGGGATGTGCTGGGTTCATGGACCCACTTGATGGTAATTTCACATTTCCTGGATTCGTACCGGGAATGGACAGTGTTTATAGCTAATGTAGTAACTATTAGAGGTTGTGCTGGTCATATGACCTCCCCTGTCACTACTCAACTCTGCTCTTGTAGCTCGTAATGCAGCCATACACACTCTGTGAACGAGGGGTGTGGCTGGACCTGCCACTACGGCTATTTGACCCTGGAGTCCCTAAGATCCCAGAGACATGTGTGGTTGGAAAAGGTGCTATGTGGATTTCATGGCAATTCCCAACCACAGAATCACAACAGGGTCCCCTAGTGCTCAGAAGCAAGGCTCATTTAAAGTGGCTCCAGGTGTGGTTCTGGGCCCTGGTGGAGATAGCCTCCAGCAATGGGAGGGCAGTCACCAGGTAGCCTCAGAGCTGCCCATTAGGAAGGTAGGCCCGGCAGTGAGAAGACGCAGGTGGGTCTCCTGGGATGGGCCGGAGCAGGGCCACAGGGAACCAAGAAGCTGCACAAGCAGTTGGTCCTGATCCCCAGGACACCCCATGCCTGCACCCCCTCACCCTCAGCTCACACCTGAGGCTTCAGGGAGGGTCCCTGAAGGTCCTGGGGGACGACTGATGCCACCCAGCAGCAAAGGAGAGGGGCAGTACACCCTGAATCATAGAACCTCCACTTACATCCATCACATCCACACCACCCAGAAGCCACAGGCAGGGTCGGACACACCTGTGACTCTTCAACTTACACCACTTGGAGATGACACCCTAGGGGATGGGGCAGCAATTGCCAGGACACAGCATGTACCCTCATCTGGGGTCAGCAACCTAGGATGGTGTCCACATCTGGTCTCCCTTTTATTAACAGGTTGCCATTTCCTGCTGCTGCTCCACAAAGGGACAGGACTTGACACAGAGAACCCACGGCCAGCAAGGACCAAAGTGCCTTCAGCCTTTCCTTTCTAGAAAGGGTTTGCTAACTCCTGTCTGCATAGTGACTATTCTGTATGACGTTGGCTCCCCAGTAGGAAGAACAGGCGGATCTGGGACCCAAGGGAAGTAGTGGGCGCCTCTACTAACGGGCGCTCCCAGGGTCATCCTGGGGGAAATGGTCCTTCCCATCCCCCCTGCACTAAGTTCTGTGGAAAGCGTGGGGAGTGTTTGCTGGGGAGAAGGGTAGAGGGTGCTAGTTGGTTGGGGAGGTGCTAAGGGCCCCTTCATGGATGGGGAGGTGAGGGAGGCCTGTGGGGTGACAGGGCTGGGCTGAGATGGGTAGTGAATGGATGTGACCTGGGTAGTGTAAGTGAACACTGAGGGGAGCGGTGGGAAGTGTCTGGTGAGCCCCTGGGTGCGGGTGAGTGTCTGCAGCAAAGCTCAGAGGGAAGTTCCAGGGCAGGGAAGTTCCAAGGCAAGGAGCCCTGGGGGTGCTGGAGGGTTTGTGTGGTGGAGAGCGGGTGAGAATAGAGCAAGCCTGTGGCTGGTGGGGGTGTCAGTGATCGCGTCCCTGTGGAACCCCCTTCACCTCTGTCCTGACCACAGCTCGGGTTCCGGGAGCTCTGGTTTCTCCTTCCCGAGGGTGAGTGGGGCTGCGAGTCTGCACCAGGGATCCCCGCCCCACCTTGGGCTCTGCAAGCCCTTTGGTCCCTCCACCCTCCTGCGGTTCCTTGTCTGCCTTCTTTGACCCCCCGCCCCCCTCCTGGCCTGTGGGGCACGCAGTAGCCACAGAAAGAGGACCGGAGGAAAGGAGCCTGGCAGGGGAACTGAGGGGGCACGCAGTCCTGGGAGATCGCGCCAGTCCTTCCAGAAGCCTTCCCCTCCTCTGAAACCCGGTGTAGTCCACAGTCCTCCAGGTTTGGCCACCGTCCCGCTTAGGCTCCATCCCTGAACTCACCGGCCCTCCCTGCCCCGAACCAGCCGGACAGCAGGAACAGAAGCGGGAGGCACAGAAGGAACGTGGGGCTGGCGGCCTCTGCCATGGGGGATCTGCAGCGCAAGGCACCGGAATCGCTGTCGCAGCGGAGATCCGCGGTTGAGTTGCAAAGAGAACCCCAAGCCGATTGGTTGTTGGGTGCCCCGCCCAGGCCGGTGACGTGCCCTCCGTCCGACCCCGCCCCGCCCCGCCGCTGCGCTCAGTCCAAGGCTGGGATCCACCTGAAACGTTTGCCGGCCCTCCTCTGGGGAACGCTCCACTCCGTCCTGTCCCCGGCTCCTGGCCTGACAGCGGCCAGGTCGGGCGAACCCTCCCCGTCCACCCCGCCCCCGCGACTTGGTGGCGGCGTGCGCGGGTTCCGCGCGGACCAGGACACAGTTCCTTCCTCTTTTAATTTTTCAACGCAGCATTTATCATTACCCCAGTGTAAACACTGATGCAGAGGAAGGTGAAGAAACTTGCACAGGGATATTCAGTGGCGGCGGTGTTCTCCGTCACCGCCTGCGCCAGCGACACCTGCCCTCCCCCCGCCTGCAGGGCAGAATCCCCGCCCCTCTCCGTCCAGGGCGCCGCAGGTTCCCAGTCCGGAGCGGACCTTCTTTGCCTCACCTCTAAAAGCATAAGGAGGTCTTTGAGTGTATTATATATCCCTTTATGACTTTGGGGAAAAAAAAGAAAGGAAAGCCCTAAAGGCCTACCGTGATCAATCTTTATGTGATCAATTGTGTTTCCATGGAGAGCAGAAGCCGAGGGTGGAGTCTACGTCTTGATGGGGCTCACTTTGCTGCACACCCATCTGTGGCCAACTACACCCAAATCCATGGCTGCACCCACACCTCTGCTCAGTCCCTGGATGGTCCCTGCAGCCATCCTCAAAGGGGCAACGTGAGTGCATCCTCGTCTCAGTCACCGTGGAACCATCTAGATCTGTGGGCAGAAGCCAGAGGTAAGTGGGGGGCCCAGTGGCCCCTGGCCACAAGGGAGGGCTTAGCCTGGGGTGAGGACTGGGCAGAACCCCTGAGTCCCACTCTGCCCCCAGCCACTCAGCCGTTTCCCCATTGAATGAGAAAAATAGACACAGACCTCCCACTCTACACAGTGTTCATGTGGGGAGAGCCTGCACCTGTTGATCATCAGTCCCCAGGGTCCTGAGGCTGTGGGAAAGGGGAGGAGGCCCGGACAAAGCCCAGGGCCTGTCTCTGCTTCAGGACAGAAACATGGGATGGCAGCAGCCTCTGTGACTGAGCAGGGACACAGAAGCCTGGAAGGTTCTGGCCTGATGCACGAGAGCCTCTGTGCAGGAGGGGCCATGTGGAGGGTGGTATGGAGGACAACAGACACATGGGGGTGGGCAGTTCTCAGATTTGTGAAGGGCATAGCTTGGTGGTCCGGGGATCTGTGTGTGAGAAGATCCAGCCCAGGATGGAGACAGAACTGGTTCAAAAGTGACTGTAATGGCCATGATCTAGAGACCATGTATTCAGACATGGAAGTCAGCTGATATTGTGGCATTCCCGTGCAAAGTTCTTCAGCTTTCTGGGCATGGATGTCCGCATGTGGAAAATGACAAATTCTACAAGAAACTCTGTCCTTGCACATGCTAAGGACCCAGGGCAGGTCTCCTATTTCAGTTGTGAGCCCTGCGGCCCACCCTGAAGTCAGCAAAAGCCAGGTCCACCCTGAGGAGAGCTGGAGCTCTGATCCCAGGCCGAGGCCTCTTCATGGCCCTGAGGGTGCTGTGAGGGAGAGGAAATGAAAGCAAGGCCCATTCATCAGGACTCAGACGTGTTTTTCAGACCCACAGAGGATTTTTCTCCCCATCACCTGGTGAGCCTGACATGATTTAAGGGTGGTTGGAGGCTGAGTGAACCAGTGAATGAATGAGACAGTTGTGGGAGTGAATGGGGCTAGAGGAATAGCACAGGTGCAGAGGGGAGCTGCAGCGGAGGTTGTAACCCCCAGGGGCCTGAAGGTGGCAGCATCGAGGTTGAAGACCTCGTGGCTGGCACAAGTTGGTAATATTTTTTTCCGTTTTCCCTTTTTGGTTGTTGGGTGTTTTTTACTTATTTTTTGTGGGGATGCGGGGTACAGAGTCTCACGCTGTCGCCCAGACTGGAGTGCACTGGGACGATCTCAGCTCACTGCAACCTCCATCTCCTGGGTTCAAGTGATTCTCCTGCCTTGGCCTCCTAAGTAGTTGGGATTACAGGCGCCTGCCACTGTGCCAGGCTAATTTTTGCGATTTTAGTACAGACCATGTCTCACCATGTTGGCCAGGGTGGGCTGGAACTCCTGGCCTTAGGTGATCCACCTGTCTCAGCCTCCAAAAGTGCTGGAATTATAGGCATGAGCCACCGCACCCGGCCACAACATGGAAATTTGAATGCCCATCTGGGTGTCCACAAAGATTTTCCAAGGAAAAGTAATTTTGGTTTTCAACCAATCTGGGGGTGCTTCATCAGGATAGAAGCTTCTAGAAAACAGTGTAATGGTGGACAGCAAACTGCTGTCTTCAGCTAAGGTTTGATTGAGTCTAGAGTGCAACAGGGCCAGAAAAATCTTGCCTTTTTTTTTTTTTTTTTAAAGACAGACTCTTGCACTGTCGCCTGGGCTGGTGTGCAGTGGCGCGATCTCGGCTTGCTGTAACCTCTGTCTCCTGGGTTCAAATGATTCTCCTGCCTCGGCTTTCTGAGTAGCTGGGATTACAGGTGCCTGCCACCATGCCCAGCTAATTTTTTGTATTTTTAGTAGAGATGGGGTTTCACTGCATTGGCCAGGCTGGTCTCGAACTCCTGATCTCATGGTCAACCCACCTCAGCCTCCCAAAGTGCTGGGATTACAGATGTGAGCCGCCGTGCCTGGCCAAAAATCTTGCCTTTTAAGCAAAGAAGGAATGAGTCTGAAAGTGGGAATGGAGATGGGAAAAGATAAGGGGGCCAGGAGGAAAGAGGAGAAAAGAAGGGGTGGGATCTGAGAGGGAGCAAGGATCTAAGCATTTAGGGCCCCATGGCCTCTAGTTGCAAGTGGGCGGGGCGGGAACAACGGAGCTGTGACATCCTTGAGGGCCTGGGTGACTCATGCACGGGGCCCTCTGCTTCCTCCGGGTGTGTCACGCCCTGGGCTTCAGGTCCCCAGTGGCACAGTTGCTGGTGCAGAGTTGGGCATTTGCCTCCAGCCTCTGCTTCTGCTGCCAGGCTGGTCTGAGTCGAGTCGGGTAGTTGAGTTCTGGGGCTGGACCCTAAGCAGGGGTTGTGGGCAAACACAGGGGGTCTTGGACTACATGGGGGTCAGGAGGAGGGGAGGCTTCTGGAAGTTTCTGAAGGTCTCCCTGGAATTTAATGTGGCATTGCTAGCTGGAGCCAGCCTGGCATGGGGAGAGAGATGTGAAACTGATGAAAAGCGCACAGTCTGATTTAAAAGCAAACCCTGAGACCTTTCCAAGAACAATAAAGCATATTGTAGTCACTAAAATAAACGAATACACACACACACACACAAAAGTAGCCTTTCTTGGCAGATACAGGACATTTTATTTTTAATCTTTACATTTATCATTGCCTTTTGAAAACAATGTATATTATTCAATATTTAAAAATCCAACCTGGGAGTTTCAGTGATTTATGTGATAAGTTTAGTAATTCACCTTCATTGTTATTACTGTTTAGGATTTAGCTCTGTCATTTTTTTTTTTTTTAAAGATATGGGGTCTCCCTTTGTTGTCCAGGCTGGAGTGCAGTGGCGTGGTCATAGCTCACTGTAGCCTCTAACTCCTGAGCTCAGGCCATCTTACTGCCTCAGCCTCCGAGTAGCCAGGACTACAAGCATGTGCCACCCACTGGGCTAATTTTCTATATTTGTTTGCAGAGATGGGGTCGGCCTATATTGCCCAGGCTGGTCTTGAACTCCTGAGCTCAAGCGATCCTCCCACCTCGGCCTCCCAAATTGCAGGGATTACAGGCGTGAGCCACTTTCCCTGGTCCATATGTATTTATTGTATTTTTTATTGCTGGTATTTGCCCTCCATACCTGTGTTCCATTTAGTATACTGAAGGTTTTTTTCTGTTGGTTTAAAAGTTATATATTCTAGTTTTCTTCTCAGGGTGGCTGCCCTTTACCTATGACTCATACCAATATGTATCACATTTATTGGTATTAATGGTTTTGTTTTATTCCTAATTTTAGAAGTATCAGCACATTTTCCTATCCCTTTTGTGTGCCACCTTCAGCTCCATTTTCTTAATATCTTTCATAGCTATAATTCTCGGTTATTCTTAGCAACACTTCCTTGTTTCTGTGATCCTAGGTTCACATTTCCCACCCCCACCAACCCTTTTTTTTTTTGAGATGGAGTCTTACTCTGTCGCCTACCCTGGAGTGCAGTGGCACGATCTCAGCTCACTGCAACCTCCACCTCCTGGGTTCAAGTGATTCTCCTGCTTCAGCCTCCTGAGTACCTGGGATTACAGGCACCTGCCACCACACCCAGTTAATTTTTTGTATTTTTAGTAGAGACAGAATTTCGCCATGTTGGCCAGGCTGGTCTCTAACTTCTGACCTCAGGTAATCCACCCACCTCGACCTCCCAAAGTGCTGGGATTACAGGTGTGAGCTACCACGCCCGTCCCACATTTTCCCTTTCACAGTAATCTGGAACAGATTCTTTGATCACTCCTTGGTGGTCTTTGATCCTCCTTGGTGGTCTTGTCACATGTTCTGTGTTTCTCTTGCTATTGGAGTTCCTTCCTCTAAACTATTTCCAACTTGGATCTTCAGGAGGTAAATATTCTTCAGGTTTTAATAAGCTCAGGAGCTTATTTCCTGAGCTATTTCATCCAGTGGTACTGTTCTAGGCTGTTAGTCATAGTCTCAAGAAGGCGGAGAATGGTTTCTACTTTAACCTACCTTTTCATAGATGCACTTGTAGATCAGACAAGCTTATTGTTTTTCTCTTATTCAGCTACTGCTAGTCTTCTCTTCTCCCACTAAGGAAGGATACCACTACTACTCCTGCAGCCCTCCTACCCCCACCTTGCCTAGTTCACAAAAGAGGAGGAAAGAGAGAAAGCAAAAAGTTAGAAAGAAACAAAAGTAAGATAAATAGCTAGACAACCTTGGCACCACCACCTGGTCCTAGGAGTTAAAGAAAGTAATAATAATAACATCAATCCCTGACCTAAACTACTTGTGTTATCTGTAAATTCCAGACACTGTATGAAAAAAGCATTGTAAAACTTTTTGTTCTGTTAGCTGATGCATGTAGCCCCCAGTCACGTTTCCCACGCTTGCTCAATTTATCACGACCCTTTCACGTGGACCCCTTAAAGTTAAAAGCCTTTAAAAAGGCCAAGAATTTCTTTTTCCGGGAGCTGGGCTCTTAAGACGTGAGTCTGCCGATGCCCCCGGCCGAATAAAAAACCACTTCCTTCTTTAATCTGGTGTCTAAGTTTTGTCTGTGGCTCTTCCTGCTACACCAGCATCACACCAGCTCCTCCCCCATTGCTGTGGGGTCCCTGCTCTCCCTGTTCACCCTGTTCCCACCATTGGCTCCCCATTCTTACTGCCCTCCAAGCATCATCCCAGCCCCTCCAGGGTCACTGCCTGACCAGGTGGGGGTTGGGTGAAGAGGCAGAGATCAAGACAAGACACCTGATCCAGTTTGACTTTAGGTTCCCCTCTGAAACGCGACTGCATTCCACATCCTGTTCCTCCGGCATCCTCAGCTGGGAGGATGTGTAGGACTGTGTAGAATCTTGGCGGGTGATGACCAGTTCCTGCAACCATGGCTTTTCAGCTACATTGATTTTTCCTAAAACAGACAAGCAGACTGGCAATAAGTTATGGAAATACGGTTTTCGTTACTAAAAATAGAGATGTGTACACCTATCAGTGCTGGTTTTTGAAATAAACATAAGCCCATAGGCACTCTGCTGCATGCAGATTCTATCTCAAAATAACACACTTTGAAGATCTTCCAAGATCTGCACATACAGATTGTTTTCCTTTTTATCTCTGCATGATATTGCATAGAAAGACTGCATCACAACAAATGTAACCAGTGTCTATGTATGAAGATCCAGATGGTCTGCAGTCCGTTACTTTTACAGAAACGAAATGCTGCAGAAACTGTGCTTGCATGAGTCTCAATTCAATTGTATAGAATAGATTTCCAGACACAGAATTGCTGTGCAAAGTAATGCACCTTTAAAGCGTCTCACGTCACGGAATGGCAATGCTGGCGACACTCTTGTCTGTGATTGTGAAGACCCAGCTTGGGCAGAGGATGGTGAAACATCCACTGTAGAGAGAGGGGTAACTAGTACAAGCTTCCTGGAGAACAGGGTGACAGGGCTCATCAAGGGTCAAAAATATCCAAGTCTGAATTAAGAATATGTATTAATATGTGTTTGAAATGGCATAAAGACTCCCTGGAAAGATGAGAAGAATCCAATAAAGTTTTGTCCTGGGCATGTGGCCAATGAGAGTGGATGCAGGCAGGGGTGGGGGAGTCTTTTGCACATGACTTTTCATGGTTTCCATCCTGCAACAGGTGACTATATGGAGGTAAAGAAGTAAGGAAAAATGGGGCCCGGAGTCCTGGGGACAGTCACTGGGTGGGCTTGCCAGATCTGTTGTGGGCCACGAGGTTCCAGGGACTCGGAACCCAGGTAAGCGCATGCGGGACTGCTGCAGTGACGAGGCACTGGTTATAGATATTTACCCAACGGTATTGTCACAGGGGAAATATTACAGGTGATTGCTGATTTCAACCACAGATGATTTTGGGGAAAGTTCGCACCTGGCGGTTTCAATTTCCACCCAGTCACGTCCTCTGGGCTCTGCTCCCTCCTCCCAGGTCGCCCGCTACGCCAGAGCTCTGGACCCGGGTCCTGCCCGGTGGAGACCGCGGAGTGGGTGCCCCGCTGCCGGCCAATGCGCCAGGGCCTCCGGGTCCACAGCCTCCGGACAAAACGGCCTTACCTGGGAGGACTCGGCTGTCGCGGCAAGGACAGGCGGTTCCCGTGATGGAAGGATCCTGGAAATGTGGGGTTTTGGTGTGGTGAGGAGCAGGAGGTTTCCCCTTCATCCTCGCGGGGACTTTGCCACCGGCTCCGTGTGGAGACGTCACCTTCCCGCTCGGATTAGTGGGGCTCCAACAGTGTAGCCCCCAAAAGTACTCCCCATCCCCCTTGCCTTGGGGCTGCTGCGAGAGGGCGCCCGAGACGGGCGGGGCTTCCCGTTGTTGCCTCCTCGACCCCGCCGCTCGCGGTCCAGGACTCCTGGTTTCTCCTCTGGGCTGGGGGCCCTGAGCATGGACATCGTGAGGCGGAGAAAACTTGGGATGGGTGGACAGAAGGATTCGAGGGAGGGCGGGAGAAAGGGAGAGGAAGGAAGCAGGTAGGCTCAGAGAACGGGGAGAAACCCCTGCCACGAAAATGGGGAGAGGGTGACACACATACAGCACCCGCACTCCACCGACTCTCCATCTCCTGCTCTCTGTTCTGTAAGGAATACAGGCCCCACCCGCTCCACCCTCAATGTGTTTGGGGTCAGCTATTCCAGCGGGGTGAGGCGTCCCCTTGTGGGTGCAATTGGCATGTCCCTGAGGACTGCGGATACTGAGCACCTTTTCCTGGAGTCACTGCCATTTGCATTCTTCTTCTTCGTCTTTTTTTTTTTTTTTTTTTCCCGAGACGGAGTCTCGCTCTTGTTGCCCTGGCTAGAGTGCAGTAGAGCGATCTCTGTTCACCGCAAACTCCATCTCCCGGGTTCAAGCGATTCTCCTGCCTCAGCCTGCAGAGTAGCTGGGACTACAGGCGTGTGCCACCATGCCTGGTTAATTTTTTGTCTTTCTAGTAAAGACGGAGTTTCTCTATGTTGGTCCGGCTGGCCTCAAACTCCCGACCCCAGGCGATCCGCCCGCCTCGGCCTCCCAAAGTGCTGGGATTACAGGCGTGAGCCACCGCGCCCGGCCTGCATTCTTCTTCTGATACCAGTGGGCAAAGGAAGGGCCCCAAACGCCAGTGGGACGGCGACCCCAGCCGCTGTCGGGCTCTAGACACCGCCCGGGAAAATGAATTTAAAGACCAGTGGGAAAACAGAGAAAGGACAGAGATTTATTGTAAAAGGAAAAGTACACACTCACATAAAGGGACTGCAGGGGAACTCAAGAGAGAGGCAGGTGCAAGGAGGCTTGGGTGAATAGACACTCTCTATTCTGTTCCACTGATCTAAGTGTCTATTTTTGTACCAGTACCACTCTGTTTTGATCACCATAACCTTATATTATAGTTCGAAGTCAGGCAATGTCATGCCTCTGGCTTTGTTCTTTTTGCTTGTGATTGTTTTGGCTATTTGGGCTCTTTTCTTAATTCCAAATAACCTTTAGATTAGATTTCTCTAATTTTGTGAAAAATGACATTGGTATTGATAGGGATAGTGTTGCATCTATAAATTGCTTTTGGAAGTATGGCCATTTTAGCTATATGGATTCTTCCAACTCATGAGCATGAAATATTTTCCCATATATTTGTGCTGTCTCTGATTTTATTCAGCCATGTTTTGTAGATTCTCTGTTTCCACACAAAATCTAGCAGAATCACTCATTTGTTACTCCATATCATGGAGGAAAAATGAAATAACATTAAGTCTTTACTGGGTGATACAACAAAATTCTAAACTCAGTAGTTTTTTGGGAAATAGAACCCTTCATTTAAATACAGTACAGAGCAATAAATTACTAGAGAAAACAATCATTAATATAATTTTTGCTTATTAAATAATTAAATAATTATCTTTCAGGACACGGAAAGAAACCCTGGAGGTCTGAACTATAACATGATTGTTTCACTGACAATATCATTTGTAAGAAAGAGGTCATCACTCAAAGAAGTACTTGATTTTCCAAACAAAAGCAGAAGAAAGAAAATGCTGACATATCTTGTTTAGTCAGCCAGATGTTAAGTTCAGGAATTCCATCAGGTAGCACCAAGAGAAAATAGCATAAAATGATAGGAATAACCGCTGGTAAAATTGCTGGCAAAAGGAATCAAGGCAGTGAAGGAGCTATTGGGTCCATGGTGTCATCATGATCTGCTGGAGGCCTCTGGACATACACAGTATGTGGTGAGCAGGTGACCAGCCAGAAGGGTAAGATTGATCAAGACTGTGCCACAGGGGCTTTTTGGTATTATCTTTGACATTCAGAAAGGACACAAATGTTGATTAAAGAGGTGGAGGAGAACCTGGATCACTTTTCCAGGGCAAGCTTTCCCTAGTCACTCCACCTGTCAGAGCCCCCTGCACTAAAGGACTTGTTTTTCCTTTGATCCCCAACCCTGGTGCCTGCAGGTTGGACCAACCTCCTTTCTCCTTTGTCACATCACAGAGGCAGCCCAGGCCCTGCACCTGACTAGGAGATGGAGTGGAGGGTCCTGCAGGACTGAAGCTGGCAGTGATAGGCCTGCTCCTGCACTCAAAGCCCTCTCTACCGTCTGACAAGAGGGCCTAAAACGTGGCAAGGGTTGGGGGGAGCCCATCTAAAGAGAGGGCTCTGTATTCCTGTGCCCTTGGCCTTGGGTGGGCCTGCAGGCAAACATCCTTCCTTCCCCTTCTTACTCAGCCTCTCCTCAAACTGGGAGAAGCACCCATAGCTATGAAGGTGACAGTCCCTGTTCCACCTTATCCATTCCTGGTCCAGCCCAGCGGTGCCCATGGAACTCCAGCAGCAGCTCAGCTCCCCCTTGTCTGAGTCCACTCTGCTCCAGGCATGGCCATCAGCCAGCTCAGGATCTGGGGTGTGCAAAAGGTGGATGGCAGGGGAGCTGCTTCACGGCCCAGACTTGAACCCCATGGCTCCATGGGACTGACTGAGAAGGTTTTTAATCAAGAGAAGCCTCTACTCTTCGCCTTCCACCTTAATTCCTGAACCCAAGCCACTTCCTGTGGGAAGGCAGTCCTGCACTTCCTCATTTTGAATTAGGTGTACCAAGGCCCTCCCACCCCCCTCCTCCCGGGATAAGACCCATATCTCTCCCTCAACCTCAGAGATGGAATCTCACTTCCCTTTTCACACCTCATGTAAAGCTACACGATGCACGTGACCCAATTAAGAGGACTGACTGCTCATATCTGAATTCCTGCTGCTGGCAAGCCATACACTCACCCATCCTCAATAGGAACCTGCTCTGAATCAGAACTGAACTTGCTAAACCCTCTCAAGCTCAATAGACTCTGAGCCTTGGTATGGGCCCCTCCATTTCCCTCTGGCCTCTGAAGGTGAGAATCCATTATAACTCACGGCTGAGCTTCCCAGGTCATTGCCAACTAGCAACACAAGGTCTCATTCACCTGTCTTATGTCAGGATGAGAAGATCCTGGCCATGGGGAGGGGTGGCACTCTGGGAATTCTCCATCCTCATCCTCCCTCCTCACCCACCTGCTCCTTGCTTCCCTCCCAATTCTGCCCCCATACCTGTCACTCTAAAGGACTCTCCTCAGCAGCCAGGGAGGATGAAGCAGGGGAAGATGAGGAGGAGGCTCCAGAGACTGAGGGTGGTGGCCATGGCTGTGGGTTGGGCTGCCAGGGAGGATGAAGCAGGGGAAGATGAGGAGGAGGCTCCAGGGACTGAGGGTGGTGGCCATGGCTGTGAGTTGGGCTGTGCCTGGGACACATGAGGAGGCACATGATGAGGAGGCAGCAAAGGATGAGGGTGGTGGCTGTGGCCCTGAGTTGGGTTGTGCCTGAGGACACAATGGGTGGTGCTGAAATGGAAACACAAGAGTGACAACCCTTGTCCAGGCCCCAAATCTGAGGAGATGCCTCCTCAGCTCCTGCTGACCCCGGTCATCCTGGAAGGCAGAGGTTTTGTGCCCTCCTGCTATGGGGTAGCCCCTGGGACAGTTCCTGGGGTAGGAAGGGAGGGGATGTCCTTGTCCTTAGGGAGCTCACACAGCTGCTGAGGGAAGCAAGCTGACAGCACAGCCCACCCTCCTGCTGTGGTGGAAGAGAAGGTGATGCCCCAGGGCTGGGGAGGGGAGGGTCTCGGGGCTGGCATTTGAGGTGGCTTTGATGGATGTCCAGAACCAGACCAGGGAGAAGAAAGGAAAAGTGATTCTCAAAAGAGGGAACACTAAGGAAAAAGGTCTTAAAACAGTGACACACGTAGTTTTGAGGCTGGTGAGAAATCCACAGTGCGGACAGCAGAAGCAAGTGCAGTGAGGAAGAGGAGTCAGGAGGGAGAAGGGAGAGGAGGATGGGAGAGCACAGGCACGCCAGTACCCCGAGGAGGAGCCCGCACAAGGGGGTCATTTTAACATAAACGTGTACACTGGGATGACTGAAGCTGAACTCAAGAACTAGTTTCTCGAGATCACCGTTTCTGATCTCATTCCAGATCCCCGTTTCTTTCTGCTGTTACCTCCTGCACTTGGCTCCAAGGTGCTGCCCATGCCCACCAAGAAGTCCCCAAGCCATCTTGTGCAGTCTCCCATTGAGATGTAATGGAAGGACATGGTCACATCCTTGTCATTCTCCCACTTTTCTTTCATCTTTCTGGCTCCAGGATGAACCGTTGTCCACACTCTGTTCTCTGAGTCAAAGAGGAGGAAGACCTGTCCATCGAAACCGAACTGCCAAGATCCACTGCTGTGTCCTTCGGCTTTCTGCTCACAAGACATCCGGGCCTGCAGGGTGAGAGGTTCTGCCCCCATCAAAAGAGAAAGATCAAGTCTGGTCTTGACACATTTTGAGGCCCCATCCTGTTCCCCTTACAATTTCCTGGCCTTACTCTCTGCCACATCCTGGCCTTGCCTCTACACCTCTTGCAGGGTAAGATGACCTTCCCATTTGTACTTTTACATAAAAACTATAAATGCCTCTAACCTACCACTGTATCTGCTCCCTCCTGTCCTGGGCCATCTGAAAGTTACCCCTGGGTGTGTAATTCTCCAGCTCAATGTCAAGCAGTTGCTCTGTGAGCATGTCCACCACCTCTCTCAGTACTGGGTTCTGTGCTTTCCAGGCTTTTGTGACATTTAGTTTCTTCCCCAGGGTACTGACGGGTGTGACTGTCTTGTTGCCACAGTCATAGTGAAGAAAAGTCTTTTTATCCACCTGGCCTTGAACCGCACACCACCGTGGTCCAGGTCTGAACTTAGGAATGATAGTGATGTCATAGCAAAGAGAGTGAGGGTCTGTGGAGAAAGGCAGGTGAGGGTTGGGTGGGGAGAAAAAGAGCCCTATGTAGCCCTCCTCCACATTGTGACGACAAGAGGATGCCTCTGGAGGGCTGGGCTGGCCCAGAAAGGAGTGCCCCCTCCAGAACTGTGGTGTCCATAAATTTAAGGTGAGTGCTCCCCCCTTGCATGAGGAGGAGGAGGAGGAGGTCTCTGCCTGTTGAGAAAACCACATGTCCCCAGACATGTCCCACTGCCCCTCTGTCCACATCAGTCAACACATGACCTTGCTAGAGAGGTGCCAGGCCTGCTAGAGGAGGAAGGGTCTGGATGGCAAAGGATCTTCAGCAGCAGCCCAAGTGGGCTGCGGGAGGTGGGAGAGGGTGTGGGGGCTGCCCCTGAGGATGCTGGTGCATGGTGGGATGGACTGAGGATGGAAAATCTAACTAACTAGGGTTAATTAGATAAAGAAGAGTTAATTTTCATTGTCACAGAATTTAACATGTTGGCAAAGCCCCTGGTGAAGTGCTCATCTGCTATGAGGATGCCTTCCTGAAATGAGGATGCCTTGGACAAAGAGATGGTCCACACAGCAATAAATAGAAAATTTGAAAATCTAAAGCAGATAGTAGAGGGAGCTCACAGGCTCAGAGAAGAGCCCATGACAGAGGGGTCTGAGTGTGAAAATCCAGAACAATTTCCATCCACTGTGCTCATGGGAAGCCTGGAGGACTCCTGTTTACCTGGCGTATAAAGAAGGTCCCATGAGAAGGCACCAGAATGGGATGAAGCTCAGGGATGCCTACTGCAGAAGGCCAGGGTTGGGGGTAGGAGATGCTGTTCCTGAAATGGGCTCCCAGTAGTAATGGGATGAAAAATCCTTAAATCACAGATTCCAGGTGGAGGCTGTCAACTGTCAGGAACAAGCAGGGTTCAGTGATGGAAATGATTAGAGAAGTCACAATGCCAGCTGGTGACCTCAGCCATACAAAGCTTTGCCCATGGCTCATAGAACAAAGGAGCTCAAGATCCCAAAGAGATGGAAACCCAACCCGGATACTGCTGGATTTAAGTAATTACAACAAACACAGATAAAACAAATGATGGATGACCAGGAGGCTGAAAGTAGCCAGTCCATCAAGAACAAGGCTGCTTTGCCCAATTTACATAATTAAGTCACCTCTCATACCCTGAACCCATGACTATAAGAAGACACCAGTTTCCAGTGAGGAAGGACCCTTTAACCCCACAGTAAGAGCAAATATTCTTTGTGGCTTTCTCCAAAGATATTTATGTCCACTAGAGTTTGCTGTGACGGGCAATTTTGTAAATATATAAAGGTGTGCAGGGAATACGTTCTCCTTTGTGACTACTCAACTCTGCTGGTGTAGCTCAAAAGCAGCCATAAACAATCCATGGATGATGAGGGATTAAGGGATTAATGCCTAAGTGCCCAATGACCCAAGACCCCCGAATATCTTAGAGGTACATGTGGTTACAATGTCTAATTGGAAAATCACAATATAGATTCCGTGTGAATGTTCAGAGGCAAGGCAACGCCACTCACGTCAAGGAAATCTCAACATTAAAAAATGACTCCTGTAGAGTACTGTGCCTTGGCAGAGATGGGGCCTTTAGCCATGGAAGGGCGGTGACCATGCAGCCTCAGAGCTGCCCATTACGGGTATGGTTCTCACCCTCTAAGTCATTAGGAAGGTAGGCACGGCAGTGAGAAGACGCAGGTTGTTCTCCTGGGATGGGCAGGAGCAGGGCCACAGGGAACCAAGAAGCTGCACAAGCAGTTGGCCCCAATCCCCAGGACACCACATGGCTGCACCCTCTCACCCTCAGCTTCAGGGAAGGCTTCAGGGAAAGTCCCTGATGGCCCCCATGGAACATAGGAGCATCAAAGGAGGGGAGAGTAGGCCCCGAACCATGGGACTCCCACTCCCATCACATCCATACCACCTAGAAACCACAGGCAAGGTTGGACCACTTTCTACTCTCCAACTGATACCTGAGACACCACTTGGAGATGACACCATAGCGGATGGAGCATTATTCACTGGGACACTGTAATCCCCTCATTTGGGGTCAGCAACCTAGGACAGGGTCTGAATCTGGTCCCCCTCATTTGCAGGTTGCCATTGCCTGCTGTTGCTCTACAAAGTTACAGGACTTGACGCAGAGACGGAGAATCCAAGGCCTGCAAAGATCACAGGGCATCCTTCCTCCCTTTCTAGAAAGGGTTTGCTGACCCCTGTCTACACAGTGACTATTCTCTATGACGCTGACTCCCCAGTAGGAAGAACAGGCGGGTCTGGGCCCCAAGGACAGAAGTGGGTGCCTCTACTCACCAGAGTTCCCAGGGTCTCCTGGAGGGAATGGTGATTCCCATCCCCCTCTGCACAGGTTGTGTGTGGAGCTTGGGGTGTGTTTGCTGGGGAGTGTCCTCAGGCAAGAGGCAGAAGTTGTCGCATGGTGTAGGAGGTGGTGAGGGTCCCTTCATGGATGGGGAGATCTCTGGGGTGACCAGCTGGGCTGAGGTGGGGAGTAAGAGCATGTGACCTGGGTGGTGTCAGTGGATGGTGACAGGAGGGGTGAGGGGTGTCTGCTGAACTCCTGGGTTCAGGTGAGTGTCTGCAGGAAAGTGCATGGAAAAATTCCAGGGCAGGCAGCCCTGGGGGTGCTGGAGGGTTTGTGTGGTGGAGAGCGGGTGAGAGCAGAGCAGGTCTGTGGCTGGTGGGGCTATCCGTGATTGTGTCCCTGGGAACCCCCCCTTCATCCCCGTCCTGACCCCAACTCAGGTTCCAGGGGCTCTGGCTTCTCCTTCCCGAGGGTGATTGGGACTGCTGGGCTGCACTAGGGATCCCCAACCCATTTCGCCCTCTTGCAGCCCCCTGGCCCCTCCACCCTCCCGAGGTTCCTTTCCAGCCTCCTCTCTGCCCAGCTCCTCCCCTGGTGGGAGAAGCAGGCTGGGAGAGTGGATCTGTCGGGAAGGAGCTGCAGAGAGGAACTGAGCGGGGCTGCAGTTCGGGGAGATGTGCCGATTCTTCCAGAAGCCTCCCCTCTTCTGAAGCCCGCAGTCTACAGCCCCCCAGATTTGGCCCCCGCCCTGTTTAGGCTCCATTCCTGAACTCACCTGCCCGCACCAGGGGGACAGCAGGAGCAGAGGTGGAGGCATAGAAGGAACGCCGGGCTGGCGCCTGCTACAACTGGGGACCTGGAAAGCAAGCCCTGGATCACTTGGCGGCTGGCATGGAGTGAATGTCAGGTGGATCACAGAGAGATACAGTCATGGAGGTCAGATGTGGAGGTCAGGTCCGGAATAGTGTGGGAGGCTGGAATGAAGTCTGGACCAGGAACAATGGTAACTGTGGAAGACTCAACAAAGAGTGAGTATAGCTGAAGGAGCTGGGGAACAGAAAGTATATGTGTCAGTGTGAGGAAGAAAATAGATTTTGGAAGTTATGAGAAATGTAGAGGGTGAGTTGAGCATAGTTTGTGATTTTGAGGGCCTCTAAAACTACAGGGCAGTGGCAGACACCACACTGAGACATGATGGCCGCCTAAAACAGTAATGTCAAGTTGTTTGGACAGAAAGGCTGCAGGGCACGGTCCCGGTCCATGTGTAAGTATTCTGCCTGCACAGCCCAGCACTTCAGCTGTGTGTAATGAAAAGGGTTGACATGAGTCAGGGAGAACTAGTATGGGATCAGTCTCTAGAAGTTTCTTCAAGGAAGGAAAAGAGGAGTGGGGAAAGGATTTAGGATCTGTGGGGTCAGCTGGGTTTCCCTTTGTGAGTACGTATAATGGTTTTGTTAGGATGGCAAAACCAGGTATTCAAAGGCGAAAGTATCCAACCATGCCCAGGAAGGAAAGGAGTTGTTGTTTTGTAAAAGGGGTTGGGGATTGAGAAATCAGCAGGATATGATCAGCAGGGAGAGCACGGGTTTTCACGAAGAATTATGCCAAGGTAGGTAATGGATGGGGAAGAAATTTGAGCTTTAGAGGGGGATACCAGATATCCTTTGGAGAATAAATGTTGAAGGAGCAGAAGGGTATCTTGTTAAGAAGACTCAAAGGAAGGACTACAGAATAGAAGGTCATCAAGGTATTGAATAAGGTGGGAAGCAGAGAGGTGGAAAGAAAGTAAATCATGAGAAAGAGCTTGGCTGAAGTAACGAGAGCTATCCCAGAAGCCTTGTGGCAATACAGCCCAGGTAAGCTGCTGGGACTGATGGGTGTCAGGGTCAGTCCAGGTAAAAGCAAACAGAGGCTGGGATGAGGGATGCAGGGGAATAGTGAAAAAAGTGTCTTTAAAATCAAGAACGGGCCGGGCGTGGTGGCTCACACCTTTAATCCCAGCACTTTGGGAGGCCAAGGTGGGTGGATCATGAGGTCAGGAGTTCAACACCAGCCTGGCCAAGATGCTGAAACCCCGTGTCTACTAAAAATACAAAAAATTAGCCAGGCATGGTGGCAGGCACCTGTAATCCCAGCTACTCGGGAGACTGAGGCAGAGAATTGCTTGAACCTGGGAGTCAGAGGTTGCAGTGAACCAAGTGCACCACTGCACTCCAGCCTAGGTGACAGAGCAAGGCTCCATCTCAAAAAAAAAAAAAAAAAAAAAAAAAAAAAAAAAAAAGATCAAGAACAGAATAGTGAGTTGTGGAGGGAGGTATTGAGGACAAAAGAGTGTACGGGTTGGGCACCACAGGGTGGACAGGCAAAACAATTTGGTTGATAAGGCACAGATCCTGAACCAACCTGTAAGACTTGTCCAGTTTTTGGACAGGTAAGATGAGAGAATTGTAAGGAGAGTTTGTAGGCTTTAGAAGCCCATGCTGTAGCAGGTGAGTGATAATAGGCTTCAATCCTCTTAAAGCCTGTTGTGGGACGGGATACTGGCATTGAGTGGGGTAAGGGTGATTAGGTTTTAATGGGATAGTAATGGGCATGTGATTAATTGTCAGGGAGGGAGTAGAGGTGTCCCATGTCTGTGGGCTAAAGTTGGGGGATACAAGAGGAAGACACGAAGGAGGCTTTGGGTTGGGAAGAAGGGTGGCAATGAGATGTGGCTGTAGTCTAGGAATAGTCAGGGAAGCAGATAATTTGGTTAAAATGTCTCAGCCTTATAAGGGAACTGGGCAGGTGGGGATAACTAAAAAGGAGTGCATAAAATAATGTTGTCCAAGTTGGCACCAAAGTTGGGGAGTTATAAGGGATTTTGAAGCCTAGCAGTCAATACCAGGGGGCAAGAGAAACAGGCCCTTGAAAATAAGGTAATGTGGAGTGGGTAGCTCCCGTATTGATTAAACAGAGGATGGACATACCCTCCACTCTGAGAGTTACCTGAAGCTCTGTGATGGTCCAGGGGGTTTCCAAGGTGATCGGGCAGCGTCGGTCTTCAGCTGCTAAGCCAAGCAGATTGGGGAAGGAGTCAGTCAGACAGCCTTGGGCCAGAGCTTTAGGGTCTCTGGGAGTGGCTGCTGGGTGAGCTGGGCAGTCTGATTTCCAGTAGGTCCCTGCACAGATGGGACATGGCTTGGGAGGAATCCAGGGCTGCAGGTGTTCCTTGGCCCAGTGGCCAGATTTCTGGCACTTGAAGCAAAATCCTGAGGGAGGAGGTCCTCTAGGAATGCCTTACTGCTGTGGCTTAGGCGTTTTGAAGTTCTTGTGTGCTGGAGGTGCAGCTGGGTTTTGTCTCACAGTAGAGGCAAGTAATTGTAACTCAGAAATGCATTGCTGTTTGGCTGCCTCCTCTCTATTATTGTACACCTTGAAGGCAAGGTTGATTATTCTCTATTGTGGGGTTTGAGGGCCAGATTCCAATTTTTGAAACTTTTTTCTAATGTCAGGAGCTGACTGAGTGATAAAATGCATATTGAGAATAAGATGGCCTTCTGGCTCTTCTGGGTACAAGGCTGTAAAGTGTCTCAAGGTTGCTGCTAAATGATCCATGAACTTGGCTGGGTTTTTATCTTTTCCTTGGGTAGTTTATTTAAGTTTGTCATAATTAACAGGTTTGTACGCTGCCTCTTCAAGTTAAAGGGCTTCTTCAACTAGGCAGGAAATCATGTAATCTCGCCTAGCTATATGTGGGGAATCTGCCTGATAGTTCCATTGGGGATCCTCTCAGGGAACTGCTCTAATGCCTTCCTGGAGGACTGGCTCATGAAGCTGGCAGATGTCAGCATGAGACTGGGCTAGAGAAAACACTCTTTCCTGTTCATCTGGGAGAGGGTAGAAGTTAGGATGACATTTAAGTCACCCAGGTTAAATTGTAGGACAGAGTTAGATATTGGAATTCCTGTATATATTTAGTGGGTCTGATGAGAAAGAGCCTAAATGCTGGCTGATTTGGGAAAGGTCTGATACAGAAAAAGGCACATGTACCCTGACTATGCCTTCAGCTCCAACCACCTCTCTAAGAGGAAATTGTTGGGCAGGTGGGGGAGAGTTAGTCATGGAATGAAACTGTAAGCCAGACTGGGTGTGGGGAAGGGAGGTGATAGAAGGGTTGTAGGGTGGGGGAGCAGAGGCTGAAGAAGAGTTGGAGCCTGATTCAGCCTGGCGGGAAGCAACCTGAGGAGGAGCAGTCTGGGGAGGAGGGGAAAGATCAGATGGGTCAATAGAAAAGGAAGATTCAAAAGACTCAGCGACACTTGAGGTTGGGACTGAAGGGACAGACTGGGGGAAAAAAGGAGGATTTGGGATGAGTCGCATTGGGAATAGAGTCTAGGGAGGTAACAAAGTGTGAAAAATGCCTGGACGTAAGGCACCTCAGACCATTTGCCCATTTTTCAACAAAAATTATCTAGGTCTTGTAGGATGGAGAAATCGAAAGTGCCATTTTTTGACCATTTAGAGCCATTATCAAGTTTGTATTGGGACCAAGCAGTGTTGCAGAAGAAAATAAGATGCTTAGGTTTTAGGTCAGGTGAGAGTTGAAGAGGTTTTAAGTTCTTGAGAACATAGGCTAAGGGAGAAGAAGGAGGAATGGAGGGTGGAAGGTTGCCCACAGTGAAGGAGGCAAGCCCAGATAAAAGAGAGGATAGAGACACAGGTGAGGAAGTGGGCCAGGGGGGAGGGTGGTACTTGCCACTCAGGGGAGGTGGTGCTTGCCACCAAGGTGAAGGATCAAGGCAGGCATCCCTGTGGTGATCAGACACCTCTGAAATGTGGGTGAATAACCAGGTAGGCATCCCTGCAGTGATTAAACACCAAGGGAAGACTGTCTTCCTGAGTCCGTGACTGGTGGCGGAGTTTTGAGTTCACGGATAAAACACATCTCCTCTGTCTCTACCAGAAAAGGAAAGGAACTGAAATTAAGGGAAGGGAGAGATTGAAGGGTGGTGCCAAAATTGAAAGGAGAAAGGGGTTGAGGGATAGTGAGAGAGGTTGGAGAAGAGTAAAAAGAGGCCACTTACCCGATTTAAAATTGGTGAGATGTTCCTTGGGCTGGTTGGTCTGAGGACCTGAGGTCATAGGTGGATCTTTCTCATGGAGCAAAGAGCAGAAGGACAGGGGATTGATCTCCCAAGGGAGATCCCCTGATCTGAGTCATGGCACCAAATGTCATGTGCGTCATTTGAAGAGACCACCAACAGGCTTTGTGTGAGCAATAAAGCTTTTTAATTACCTGGGTGCAGGTGGGCTGAGTCCGAAAAGAGAGTCAGCAAAGGGAGATAGGGATGGGGCAGTTTTATAGGACTGAGCTAAGCAGTGGAAAGTTACAGTTAAAGGTGGTCGTCTACTGTCAGAAGGGGAGGGGGTCACAAGGTGCATGGTGGGGAGATCATAAGACTCATTGTCCAGAAGAACAATGTTACAAGGTGGATCAACTGCTCAGTTGGGAGTTGGGGCAGAGCAGGAACAAGTCATAATGGAATGTCATAAGGTTGGTCAATCAGTTAAGACAAAAGCTGGCTGTTTCACTTCTTTTGTACTTTTTGGTTGCCTCACGCCATCTGGATGTATACGTGCAGGCTTGGGCTCAAAAGCATGACAGGTTACATCCAGTTTCTCTGCTCTTCTCCAGTGGATAGAAACTCCTTCTCCTTGACACATCTGGAGCTACCAACCTGCTGCCTGACCCAAACGTGAGGGCCGCATATGCCTGAGCTCCTGCTGTCTGCACACCACGCAAGGTAGGGGCCCCATAGGACTAGAGACCCCGTGTGAAACAGGCCTAAATTTGCTAAACCCTCTGGAGCTCGACAGGCCCTGAGTCTTGGTAAGGTTCTGTGCACTCCTCCCAGGGCCCCCACTGTCCCCGAGCTCCAGGCCTGATTCCTGACTGGTGGAGACAGCACAGTAGGTGCCCTGCTGTCAGCCAATGCCCCTTGGCTTCTGGGTCTGGAGCCTCAGGATGAAACTGTTTTTGGAAGACCCAGGAGGACTCACCGGTCACGGTAAGGAATAGGCAGTTCCTGAGACAGCAGGAACCAGGAATTGTGGGGCCTGGTGGGATGAGAAGCAAGAAGTTCCTGCTTCATCCTCGTGGGGACTTTGCCACCGGCTCAGTGTGGAGACATCACCATCCCGCTCGGATAAGTGGGGATCTGACAGTGTGGCCCCTGTGAAGAGCCCCCCATCCTCCCTGCCCTGGGGCTGCTGCGATGCACTAGGTCCTGAGTGTCCAGGATCCAGCAGGGGATTCCCATTGTCACCTCCTTGACCCTGTCGCTTGCAGTCCCGGGCTCCTGGTTTCTCCGCTGGGCTGGAGGCCTCGAGCATTGATGTCGTGAGGTAGAGAAAACCTTGGGATGGTTGGAAATGAAAGATGGGAGGGAGGGTGGGACAAAGGGAGAGGAAGGAAGCAGGCAGCACCAGAGAACAGGGAAAATCCCCGCCTTGAAAATGGGGAGAGAGTGACACACACACAACCTCCAGACTCCACGGACTCTCCATCTCCTGCTCTCTGCCCTGTAAGGAACATAGGCCCCACCCCCTCCACCCTTACTGTGTTTGGGGTCAGCCATTCCAGCGGGGTGAGGTGTCCCCTTGTGGGTGCGATTGGCACTTCCTGGAGGGCTGTGCATTATGAAAACCGTTTCCTGGGCTCACTGCCATTTGCATTCTTCTTCTGATGTCAGTGGGCAAGGGGAGGTCCCCGAACACTGGTGGGGCCTCGACTCCAGCCAGTGAATTCAAAGACCAGTAGGAAATAGAGAAAGGACAGAGATTTATTGTAAAAGGAAAAGTACATACTGCAGTGAAGGGAGTGCAGGGAAACTCAAGAGAGAGGTGCAAGGGGGTTTGTGACTGTCACCTTTCTGAGTTTCTTCAACCAAGGGGTGGAATATTTATAAAAATTCCTGGAAGAAGGTGGAGATTTCTCAGAACTGTGGTGCAACCCATTTTCACACCAAAAATGGGTATTCTCAGAGCTGCTAGGGAGCTGGCTGTTGTGTGTTTAGTATGTTAATTAGCATGTGATGAGGTCCTAGGTGAAACCTAGGTCAAATCCAGGGCCATGTTGGGTCCACTAGTTCTTAGTCGTCTTGGTCCACATGTTGTTTTTCAGCATCTTATCAGTCCAGAGCCTCTGCAGATATTTCAATGGATTCTTTTTGCTCATCATCTGAAACTGCTGCCTAAAATTTTCTATTGTTTTGAGACCATCATGTAGTGTACCTGACTCACTTTCGAGAAATGTCTGTTCAGATTCATTGCATATATTTAAATTGGGTTATTGCACTTCATAACATTGAGCTGTAAGAGTTCTTTACATATTCAGCATACCAGTCCCTCACCAGACATATGATTTTTAAATATTTTCTCTCATTCTGTAAGTTTTTTTTTTTTTTTTTTACCTTCTAAATGGAGTCCTTTTTGAAGCACAAAAGTTTTGCATTTGCATGAAATGAAATTAAACTACATTTTGCCATTTGTGCTATTGGTATATAGTACTTAAGAAGCCTTTGCCAAATCTGAGGTCACAAACATTTACTGCTCTATTTTCTTCTGAGACTTTCATAGTTTCATGTCTTAGGAGGACATCTGGCATTCATGAAGAGCTACTTTTTTGTGTGCTGTAAGGAAGTGATATGCTTCATTCTTCCGCATGTGCCATCCGGTTGTCCCAGCACCATTCACTGTAGTGTAGGATGCACTTGCGCAACCTCCTGTCCCTCCCTCCTGCACTTGGCTTCAGAAGTGCATCCTGCTGAATGGTTCTCCCAGGGTTTCCACCAATGAAATCCCCTCATGTGAATCCCATGTAGGCATCTGCTTCTCAGAGGACCTGGATTAAGGAGTGGATTCAACAGATCAAATTATATTTCATAAGATGGAACTTTCTGAGAATACTGACACTCAGCAGACCCCTGAATACCTCAAAAGTAAGAAATTGCATAAATTGATCATTGTGGTTCCACAAGTCTCCTGTCAACTTAGCTTACTGGTGTTTAACTTTTTTTTTTTACTTCTGCTGTTTTTGCTGTTGTTGTTGTTGTTTTCTTTGAGACAGGCTCTCACTTTGTCACCCAGTCTGGAGTGCAGTGGCACCACCATGACTGCCTGCAACCTCAAACTCCCAGGCTCAAGTGATCCTCCCACCCTTGCCTCCTGAGGAGCTGGGACTACAGTCATGTGCTACTACCCTTGGTCTATTTTAAAATTTTCTGTACAGACAGGGTCTCACTCTGTTGCCACGGCTGATCTCCAACTCATAGCCTCAAGCAATCCTCCCGCATGGGCCTCCCAAATTTCTGGGATTATAGGCATGAGCCACCCCTCCTGGCCCAGAAAGTTATTGCATTCGAGTTTTTACTTTTCACATGGTTGTAAGACATTATGTAGATTTTTAAAATCCTGTATAAGTAATTTG